TCCAGTGGAGTGGAGACTCTTCAGCTTGCGGCTGCTCTCAGAAACCACGTCTCTACTCGTGAACCAGGAGGCCAGTGTCGATTCTGACAGCGATCTTCTGGCTCTCATTAGAGATGTCTTACTTCCCCAGTAAGTACCGTGCGCTGCACTCACACAGAGACCTGTGGGATGTCCAGGATGCCGCTGTCAAACTAGGTCCGTTGATGGCACTGGGCGTCTCAAGGTCCACGTGATGAATATGTCCATGTGCTTACATACTCGCTGTAAAGAGGTCGAGAAACAGAGGCAGTGACCACTACACTGCGTATGACTCAGGAGAATTGCAGAAAAGCTCTACATCTTCAAAAATATCCATGTAGAGCCTTTTCTGTTTTCCGCAAGGCACACGAATCTGAGATTATGCAGAGTTAAAGGTGTTCATGGCTCGAGGGGTAAGATTTATTATTCAAGGTCAACATTACAAGACTATTGGTAGATGAAATTGGATCTTTTCCTGGCCCTACTCAGAAATGATAGAGATGGAAAGAAATCTTCCTTCTCCCCAAACTATTGGAATGGAAATTAAGTTTAGTTGAGACCAGAACTTTTCTTTCTTTCTTTCTTTCTTTTTTTTTTTGGTGAAGTGGTGGTGGAACAAGTAACTAATTAGCATATTCTGTTGCTCACATAGCACACACACAATGGGGTGACTATGGAGATCTAACCTCGTGTTGTTCTGGACAGTCACATGCTGTACAGGCTTGAAGCCCAGGAGCAGTAGGCCATCCCATATAGCCCAGCTGTGTAGTAGGCTAGACCACCTAGGTTCATGGAAGTGCACTCTGTGATGTTTGCACAATGATGAAATCGCCTAGTGGTGCATTCCTTAGAACGCATCCCCGTCGTTATGCAGCGTCTGAGTGTGTATGAGTGTGAGTGCATGGTTTGCATTTATGTGGGTACATATAAGAATCTCGTGTCATGGGATTAATTAATGCTTTCAGTACCATCTTACACTTCTGCTTATATATAATTATATGTGTCTTTCTGACAAGAAGATGCCTAAAAATGTAGTTTTCGTACAAATATGATTTTTAAAAGATGTGCTTTGTATATCTGCCACTTAACAACTTGTGGAGAAGTATTTTCAAGACCTGAGATGTCCTCTCCCAAAAGAGACAGGATTTCCTCCAATAGGACTTCACAGTTTAGTAAGAGCTTGTGAACATGGAATTTGAAATACAATTTCTTCATATCTGAAATTTGCCCACTTTTGGAACTATTTGTAGAATAAAAAGCATTAAATATATATAATTCAGTGCTTCTGTTTTATTCATTTGAGCTGGAATAAATAAAATGTATTCCCTTTAATGTACATCTTTACATTTTCTAGACATGAGGCATTAAAGAGGAAAATACAAAGGCAAACCACATGGCAAGTCAAGAACAAAAGTAATGTGGATGAGTTCAGGTTTCTATTAAGCAACCTGAAATGCACTTTGGATAATGGGAGGTGGATGCTTTCGAAGCTTGTGCACCGATTTTGATGTGAAGTACAGATCTGGACTCTGCGTTTCATTTCCCAAGCCTCAGTTTCCTCGTCTGTAGAATGGGGATAATATTACCTAACTCACAAGATGCTTGTGAGGATTAAATGGGATACTTCTTGCAAAACATTTAGTACAGTGTGTGGGACATAGTACACTCTCAACAATGTTTAGTACTGCTATTATTATTAGGTCTCTTTATTATAATTTCTTTTATTATCCTTTAAAGTGAAGATTGTAATGGTGCAATAATAGTAATAGTACATACTTCATGGAAGCCAAGCGGCCATCAAATACATAATGCTGGGTGTGCATCCCTGGCATGTGTAGTGAGGGCTCAATAAGTGTTATGTAACATTTTTAAAAAATGAAAAATAAGTGAAGCCTTCATTTCACTTTAACTCTGGAAAACTAGAAACTCTGGCCAGGAGTTTACTCTTTGAAGATAACTCTTGATCATTATAAGTTTTACAATTGCTAATAATGGAAAACTCATGTTCTCCATTGAGTATGTAAATATAATGGCTGAAAATTATGAAGTTTTTAGAGTTTGTAGGAACTACATGGCATCCGCCTCAGTTTGGCAGATGCATAGTTCCCCCTGATCCACAGAGGCTAAGTTCCATGGCCCCCAGTGGGGGCCTGACACTGAGGGTAGCCCCGGACCCTAACCCACTTCATCAGCTCTGCCAGAAATCTGGCAGCAGCTTCTTCATTGGCAGATGCAGCCTCTTCAGTAATTTTTCTATTTTTCAGGCCAAACATACTCCTGTATCTGTATAACCATCTACACTTGCAGTAAATGGCTTGGTGTCACTCGTCTCAGGGGACCCCTTGCTGAAGTCTTTGTATAAAATCAGTGCTTTCTGGTGTAACACGTTGCCATCAGTCGGAACACGATTTCTGTTCGTGTCTTCCGCCCACAAAGTTACACCTTTTCCATCTTAACTAAGCACTTACCGTTCACTGTGGCTGTGACTTCTGCAGTTTGAGGTGCGACAGCAAAAACTAGCACAAATTTCTTTTTCCTTCTTCACAATTTCACCATAGATCTTTGTGGCCTCAGCTTGTAATTTTTTTCTTTCCTTATTAAGTTGAGAACTTTCACCTTTTTTTTTTTTCTTGAAGGAAGCACTTCGTGGCTTCTCTTCTGCATGTCTGAACTGCCAGCATCACTACTCTTGCGCTTTGGGGCCATTATTAAGTCAATAAGGGTGACTTAAGCAGAGGTACTGCAATACTGTGACAGGTCATCTAATAACCGAGATGGCTACTCAGTGACTAATAGATAATAAGGTAATAAGAGTAGCTTGTACTGTATGGAGATGCTGAACTAAGGGATGATTCACATCCCAAGTGGAATGGAGCAGGATGACGTGAGATTTCATTATGCTACTCCAGAATGGTGCGCTACTTAAAACTCATGAATCGTTTCTGGAATTTTTCATTTAGTATTTTCAGGCTGCTGTTGGCCGCTGTAACAGAAACCTTGGAAAGCAAATCTGCGGGGTTGGGGGTGGGGGTGGGTGGGGACTTCTGTAGACGGGTTAATGTCAATACTTTTAATTTTGTTAAATTTTAATCTTTTTTTGATCTTAATAACTTTGGATAAAGACAAAGTGACAGTTTTTTTCATGGCTCCCCAGTTTTCACACAAAAGTGTTATATTAAGAGTATTTTATTTGCAAACAGTAACGTCAACTCTAACTTGGAAAATAATTATTTGCTCACATAAATGAGAAGTCCAAGACTTGTGTTGGCATCAAATGTAGCTGGATTCGGGGGTCTGAGTTTATTTCTACAGAACTATGTGTATGTGTCTTTCTCTCCATCTCTCTACTCTGCCTACATCTGTGTGGCTTTGTTCTCAGGTTCTTTCTTGTTGGTAGTTAAATGGCTCTCGAGTGATGATCCTAGAGAAAAAGTGGATATCTTTTCTAATAGCTCTGGAAAAATTTTCAGGAAGGATTATAATTTAATCTTGTTAAAGACCATTTAATACCTGCGTTCCAGGTGCTTATCAGAACTGTTGTGTGATGTGAATGAAAACTCTAAGAATAAATGTCTTACAGTTGTATGAATAAATATCTTATAAATATTAGTTATGCTTCTCAGAGAAACACAACCAATAGGATGCATATATTTATTATTAGGAATTGACTGTCATGATCATGGAGGCTGAGGATTCCTAACATCTGCATTCCACAAGCTGGAGACTCAGGAGAGCCGATGGTGTAGTTCTAGTTTGAGTTCTAAGGCCTGAGACTCAGGAGAGCTGATGTTGTAAGTACCATTTGGAAAGGTGACAGGCTAGAGACCCAAGAAGAGCCCATGTTTCAGTTCAAGTCCAAAGACAGCAAAAGATCAGTGTCCCTCAGCTCAAAGCATTTTGGGAAGTTCCCTCTTACTCAGCTTTTTTGTTCTATTTAGATCTCCAATTTACTTGGTAAAGACCACCCACAGTAGGGAGAGCAGTCTGCTGACTCATTAATCTCATCCAGAAACAGCCTTAAAGAAACACCGAGAATAATGAATGACCAAATGTCTGGGTATCCTGTGGCCCAGCCAAGTCGACACATAAAATTAACTGTTACCACATCTATCATAGAGATCATGGATGACTTGCTCGCTCTATAAATTATGAATAATTATCAAAGACCCATTACTTCTAGTGTACATGCTTTGCATTCTAAAGAAATGAACTTTAGTTACAAGAATTTGTTTAATGCCTTTCGTATGTGGAGATTATAATACCATTTGGAGAGAGATGGCTTTTGAGTTAGACTTCGAAACCTGGATATGATTGGGTAGAAGAGGAATGGGCCTCCCAGCGAGACTGGGGTGAGCAGAGGTGTGGGGGAGGCAGGGTGGTGGGCAGTCAGCAGACCAGCTCCTCCCCAGCAGGTATCTGCATGGGAGAGTTAAGTGCAATGAGCTTGGGAGAGAATGTTTTCTATCTTCATCCCATTTATCCCACCGATACTGATTGAATACATCGTATTTCACTGGCATATTTCTAGTTGCTTAGAATGTAATAATGACCAAGATAGGCACAGCCTCTGCTTTTATGGAATGTACTTGTCTGGGTAGAGCCAAAGATTGTAGAAATTAATTTTTCTTTCACCGAAGAAGCTTATAAGTCATGCAAGTAAAAATGTTTATTTAAATATCAAAACCAGCCTCCTTAAACTGTAGGCCCACTTGATGTTCAAAAACCACCAAGGAACACATGTTCTTCCTGAAGCATTCTGTGTGCTCACTATTTCTTTGCTTTCGAGTTTTACAATTTACTCATTTAACATTCTAAAGCTCAGGGTTTCTCAACATTATATGACCTTAGGACACTAGTTCCCTTGGCCTACCTGTTAACAGCTCCCAGAACTCTAGTGCTCCTTTGATCACAGTTTTGAAATACTCAAGGGCATTCGTTCCCAGTAATGTCAGGAGCGAGGAAAGACTGCTCACCATCGAATCTTTAACTTTGGATTATAAGTTTTAATTAATGTAATACAAGAAAATTAAACTCTATATTCTGTTCGTTTTCTAGTGACACATAACAAATTAACGTGAATTGAGTAGCTTAAGTCATCTGTTTGTTAGGTCACGCTCTGTAGCTCGGAAACCTGACGCAGTGTGACGTGTTTCTTTGCTCAGGATCTTACGCTGCTGAAATCAGGTGTCCATCTGATAGGATAGTCTGGGCAAAATCTGCTGCTGGGCTCATTCAGGTTGCTGGCAGAATGGTTTCTTGCAGTTTGTATTAGTTTCTTAGGGCTGCTGTAACAAATGACCACACAAAGACTGGCTTAAAACAGCAAATTCATTCTTTCACGGTTCAAGAGGCCAGGAGAATGAAATCAAGGCTCAGCAGGGTCGGTTCCTTATGGAGACTGTGAGGTGGAATCCATGCCTTTCTCCTAGCCTCTGATGGCGGCCCGCAATCCTTGGTTTATGGCACTGTCACTCACATCTCTGCCTCTGTCTTCAGATGGCCTTCTCTCCTGTGTGTCTGTCTCAAATTTGCCTCTGCCTTTGTCTTCAAAAGACATCTGTCATTCCCTGAATTCAGGATGATCTTATTTCAAGATCCTTAATTACATTCTCAAAGACCGTTTTTTCAAGTAAGGTCACATTCACAGGTCCTGGGGTTTAGGGCTTAGACGTGTCGCTTTGGGGACCGTCATTCCACCCAGGTCCACGGTTGTAGCACCACAGTCCTTGTTTCTGGGCTGTCTTACGTTCCTTCTTAAGGTTGCCCACATTTCTCTTCACGTAGCCTCTCTGTCTTCAAGTCAGCAGCAGGTCGTCAGACCGTCCTCATACTTGCAGTGTCTCTGACGTCCTCTTCCACTACCACCTTGAGAAAACTCTCTGCTTATGAAGTTGGTGTTACTGGCCATTGGAATCTGGGTTTCATGATGAGAATATATTCGTGTTCAATTCTTGGCCTTGCCGTTAACCTAGTGTGTGTGCCCTCACTTTCTTCTTCTCCCTTCCTCCTTTCAGTTCCTCCTCCGTTCTTCAAGATAGTCGGAATGCCAGGAACATAACCAAGTTATCTGTATGATGAAAATAAAAAGGGGTGTTTTTTTTTTTTTTTTTTTGGGCTGGGAAGAAAAATAACCCCACATCCTCAGAAAATTAGCAGGATTTTTTTTTTTTTTCCAGCAGAGAGACAAGATTTAATTTTAAAGGTTCATGCAGAAGAGAAGAGGAAATATTTAATGGAACTTAAGCCCAGAATGACCTTATTAATTAAAATTGGCACCTCTCAGAAGTTTAATATCAAAGTAATTATCAATGAAATCTTAGTACCGAAAGTAGTCTTCTGCTGACTGTTTGAACATTTTTTATTTTTTCCCTGAGACTTGTTACATAAGGTGAGGGCATTTTTCTTTCAATCTTTAGCTGTAAATGGGACTAGATTCTTTGCTCAGGATAATACACCATTGCTATTCTTGGGGGAGAGGAAATATTACTATTCATACGAATGTAAATAATGTAATTTGTGCTCCATCGTGGGATTTGTGTATATGAGATTTAAGCCCTTCCTTTCTTCCTTCCTCCCTTCTTTTTTTATCTCTTAGTTAATTCATTCGATAAGTATAAATCGACTGCTTTCCATGTGCCTGGCGCTGGCGACACTGCTGAGGAAGATTGAGTCCCTGCCCCTCAGTGCACTTACATTCCAACGGGGAGACTGAGAGCAAACACATAGATATATAGGGTGATTTCAACTAATTGTGACTGCTGTGAACAAAAATAAAACATAAAACTGCGAAGGGACAGAGGATGATGGGGGAGTGAGAGAGGGGCTGTGGCAGGTAGGATAGTCAGGGAAGGCTTTCGGCAATGTAGCAAGCCACGGGAAAAATTTGCTATGCAATTGCCTTTGGTAGACTGGAGCCACTTTGCCAACAAGTATTTTAGCTTTCATATTTTCTTTCAGCTTCGAAAGTTTTGCATTGTAAAGAGATCATCTTGATAGAAATGTGCCAATGTTTTTATGACAATATGGCATTCAGCATTTCTCTCCTGGGGAAAATGGATGCCGCCTTTCTTTTTCTTTTTTTTTTTTTTTTTAAATTCTTTTGTGACCTGTATTATCAGGGCCACAATGACTTCATAAATTGCTAAGGCTTTGTTTTTCAGAACCTGAGAAAGGTTCTTACAAATTCCTTACAAATTAGAATTGTCTTACCCTTCAGATGACAACACACCGTAGAGTTATTTATCTGTCTTTGGATTAATGGCCAGTGAAAGTTAACGTTTTCTATGCCGGTGGTTCCAGAGACATTCAGATGGTTCTGTGTGGCGTCTTTGTCTCCCTTAATTGCAAGTGTTCTATATAAAAATAGGCGTGAACTTGGTCATCTTTGATGAGAATCAGAAGAGAAAGGAATATTTCATTTTCAGTCTTTCCTTAGATGATTCTTTTGCAGATAAAATTTAATTCACAAATATTTTTGCATCAGAAAGCATCATGGTGTTCTGCTTTCTCCTGTTACGTCATCCTATTATGTTTAAGTGTGTACCTGAATCAGCGCCTTAAGGTAAAGTGATTTTCCCCCTCTTTGGAGGTACAACCTATGGGAATCTAAATTGGAATAATTTGGGAGTTCGATAAGGATAAATATTCTTTCATCCCTCTGAATCAGGATAATTCTAGCACTCTGGTTCTTTGGATATTTTACAAGCTTTGAGTGTTGAATTTTTGAAGTCATTTCTTTTAGCTTTTCAGGCCTCTATAATGAAAATTTGCTATTAATTTTATTGAAGAGTCCGGAAGAGATGATGACTTAAGTCTGAGATGAAATTTAACACTTACTTTGAAGTCATACCTATCTTTCTATTACTTAAAAAAAAAGCAACTCTGTCTTCTCACCCATCTCTCTATTTCTCCATTTACCTATGTATCCATTTAACTACTGACGTACTTAAATATCTATGCACTCAGGCAAGACAACAGTGTCACATAGAATTCAGGTCACATAAAATCACAAGTCAGCAAAGTTCTCAAGATATCAACTGTTTATTGGATTGGTTACCCACTCTCATTTTATAAAATTTTGGAGTCGACTAAAGATATTACCTAGTTAAAAATCTGGGGAAGACTCTACAGAAAATGCCCCCAAAGAGTCGATTATCTGTTTGCCCCTTTGGTACATAGCTGTCCAGGGGAAGGTCCTCAGCGTTCCCCAGAGGTAGCTTTCACGTCCACGCCTTTGCTGTCTGGTAGCCCTCTCGTCAACCCCACACATCTCCATTCTCTAAGCTCTTTAAGCCTCGACTCCGTCTTGCACTCTGTTAGGTGTGCATTTGATCACACTGCCCTTCTCACACCGTTCCCTGGCTCGGAAACTTTTACGTGTGTAGGTTGTAGAAAGTCACATTAATAGTACTCAACCATTCATTCAGGACTCTGTGTTTTGCCTCTCGCCTACCATTTCATGTTAGCATCTGCC